ACATGTTAATAGGCATGTGTCCTCTCTATCAGTTGAACCTAAACCCTAGTGAAAAGCACAAATCTAAGACTAGTTTAAACTTCCTCTCTAGTGTCTTATGGGCGGATCTCCACCATCCTATGTGCACACTAAACCGTCCACCACAAGAGGGAATTCAAATTCGAAAAACCAAAAATTACATGGCTTAGCTGTTGTAATGTAGAATGCAAAAACAATTTGGAATTGTTGCAGAGAGAATTCAAATTCAAAAAACCAAAATTGCATGGCTTAGCTGCTGCACAAACAATTTGGAATTGTTGCAGATGGAATTCAAATTCGAAAAACCAAAAATTGCATGGCTTAGCTGTTGTTATGCAGAATGCAAAAACAATTTGGAATTGTTGGAGGGAATTCAAATTCGAAAAACCAAAATTGTTGGCTTAGTTGCTGTAATGCAGAATGCAGAAACAATTTGGAATTGTTGCAGATGAATCGGAAAACCAAAATTACTGGCTTAGCTGCTGTAATGCAGAATGCAAAAACAATTTGGAATTGTTGCAGATGGAATTCAAATTCGAAAAACCAAAAATTGCATGGCTTAGCTGCTGTAATGCAGAATGCAGAAACAATATGGAATTGTTGCAAATTAAATGAATAATTATTTCAAGGGTTATAACCTAGTAGTACTTTCTCGCCTTCTAGAAGGTCAAGGGTTCAAGTCCTTGTGAGGGCAAAGTATTTGTGCAAGAGTGGTTCTTGTGAGGGGATAAAAAAAAAAAGAGGAACTACTATTGTATTAAAGAGTAAAAGATGAACCTGCATCTGAAATATAACTTACTGCTCAAAATTAAAGGGTAAAAGATGAACCTGCATCTGAAATATAACTTACTGCTCAAAAATGTGTCCCAAAAAAAGCATAAATATGCTTTTATGGTTCCTTTCTGCTGTCATGCTTTAGGCTTAGGTTCATGACTCTGGAAATTCAATATACAACATAGAAACTTCTAAATAAAAGAACTCGTAAATTGAAGTTAATTAGTCACGAATGCTAGATAGCGGCATTGGAAGAGACAACTTGGTGTCCTTTATCACCTTTTAGAAGATCAAGGATTCAAGTTCTCGTAAGGGCAAAGAAGATGTGCAAGGGTGGTTCTTGTGAGGGTATGTGAAAAAATAAAAAATAAAATAAATAAATAAATGAAGAAGAAGAAAGGGGAACTACTATATTATTAAAGAGTAAAAGGTTAATAAGTTCCACCATATGTCATAAACCCTAATATTGTCAAACATACATGTCCCTTCGCTGTTACTGAAGAACATAGAACTCTAATATATATATATATATATAGATAGATAGATAGACAGAGATAGATGGTAAAACTAGCCCAGCGGAACGGAATCGCTACTGGCTTCGCCATTGCCGAGGACTAGGTTATCGGTGGCTACGTGGCTTCTTTCCCCAAGTACTTAGTGTGCACATCGCAATACATCAGAAACTCGACCATATCCATTGTCGTGTCCGAGAGCTTCTTCATCTTCTTCAAACCTTCAGCATCCTCAGGGTTTATATGGAGCTTCACAACCCCCTTTGGAATTGATTGATTCGACACCACCTTTCCCTTGAGCGTAGTCATTGCCTTCACAAACAGTTCCAGCTTCTCTGTTTCTTCCGCCATTAATTCTCTCTCTCCGCTCAGTCTTCCCTTTCTGATTCAGATCTTCTGTCTTCACTCTCACTCACACTCACACTCACACTAGCACTCTCATCGGACACTCTCTCTGAAAAAGACTACCAACTTTATCTTGGAAAAACTACTAAACCTATCATAATTTAAATATAGAAAGTAATGCATGACCACCATCACTCATCACTCGTACGCGTAGATGATTATTAAGAGAGGTTTCCAAAATAATTAATGGAGCGAGTTAATATTTTTTTTGGTAGACTAATATAGTAATAAATTATTATTTTATGAACTGGGCTAAAATTGCTTATAATAAAAAATAAAAATTTGGGTGGACTTGATCCCACGAAAATATACACCTAGATTAGCCCTTGATGGTCATGATCGTCTGTCTTGATATCGACTCATAGATAATTTTATTTTTCAATTAGAAAGACCAATAACTATTTAATATTTTTATTAATACAATAAACTTTTACTTCTAATTGATATTTCTTGATATCGACTCACGCGTTGATAGATAATATTATTTTTCAATTACAAACGCCACTAACTCTCTAATATTTTTATTAATACAATAAACTTCTACTTCTAATCAATATTTCTAATGCTCACAACTATGTTACCCATTATCACTAAAAAAACATTTTTGACATCTTTAATAACATCTCCAATGAAATTTTTAAAATTTATCAAGTTAGTACTTCAAGAGCCACGTCAATATTTTGGAGTCTTCTCACTTACACTCACTCATCAGACACTCTCTCAATCACACTCATCAGAATACACATACACTAATACTCCTATCCGGATTATAGACCCGCCAAAATCCCCTATTTAAATAAAATTAGAACTAATTAATCTTAGCAATAATCAATTGAATAGACCAACGAGAGGGTTTGCTTATGTTTAAGACTTGGGCTTTGTTTTGGGCTGCTAGTCATGGGCTTCCTTTTGCTGAGTCTTTTCTATTACCATATGGCGATCGCGGGCAGGCCATTGCGAACCCGCTTTGCTTTTTATTTTTAAATTCTGAGGCCAAATTTACTGTAGCCTAGATTTACTGTAGCCCAATAATCTATTTAAGGGTGTTTGGCTTGAAATAAATTCCAGAAATCGGTTTTTATTGCTTTTTTTTGCCTTTCTTTTCTTCTTTTTTTCCCTCTACATAATTGAACCAAAGAGTCATTAAGGCTTTGTTGGAGTGTGCCTTAAAGGCTAATTTGGGCAAAGTTAAAAAAAAATTGGAGCAAAGTGAATTTTTTTTCAAAGTTCCTACTGACATTGTAACTGTTTTAGGCACGGACTCAAACAGTGCCTTAACGTTTATATTGGTACAAAATAATATTTTTTGAATTTTTTTAAAATAAATTTTTATATAGATATATATATATATATATTTGAAAAAAAAACTTTTCATTTTTTCTTTATAAATACATCAACCTTTCATTTTTTTTGTATGATATAGCCCGTTGGAAATATATGGTTAGGAAAAAGTTTTAAAAAAATATATTAAAAATATTAAAATTTTTGGAGAGCGAAAGCACACTATTGAAGTACATGCAATAGCTAAAATTTGAAGACTCCAAAACACTGACGTAACTCTTGAAATACTAACGTGACATTTGAAAAATGCTCACATGACAAATTTTAGAGATTTCATTGGAGATGCTCTGAAAGATGTCAAAAATATTTTTTAGTAATAAAGGGTAACATTGGAAAGATAATAGTTGTGAGAATTAGAAATATTGATTATAAGTAGAAGTTTATTATATTAACAAAAATATTAAAAAGTTATCGGTGTTTGTAATTGAAAAATAAAATTATCTATCAAGAAGCATGGGTCGATATCAAGAAATATGGATTAAATGTAGAAGTTTATTGTATTAATAAAAATATCAAAGAGTTATTGGTCTTTGTTATTGAAAAATAAAACTATCTATCAAATATGCATGAGTCGATATCAAGACAGACGATCATGATCATCAGGGCAGGCCTAGATTTATGTTTTTGTGGGCTCAAGTCCACCAAAAAAATTTATTTTTTAATTTTTATTATAAGCAATTTTAGCCCAGTCCAAAAAATAATAATTTATTACTAATATTTTTGTCCACCAAATAAAATATTAGCTTACTCCATTAATAATTTTTGAATCCTCCCTTAATGATCAATTCACACATAGGAATGAAAGTGGTAATGCATTACTTTCTATATTTAAATTATGATAAGTTTACTAGTTTTTCCAAGATAAAATTGGTAGTCTTTTTTAATCATCGATCAAAATAGCAGCATTCAAAGAAAACATGTGCTATCATATGGAATAAATTAACAACCACAAGCAACACAAAACTTTACTTTGCAACAGCGAAAAACAAAGGATGCTTACAAAAGACTAGTAAAATTTTATTTATTTTTATTTTATTTACAGCAAACAAAGATTTAGTTTATTTCACATCAGAGAAGTTAATCCTCTAATTTGTTTATTATTTGATAATATTGATTTTCTAATCGATAGATCTAAATAACATTAACTCTTTGAGATATTATTTTGTTGGGTTGAGTTTTTTTGGAGGAGGAAAATAGTCCGGACGATTTTGTAAGAAGGCTTGGAATGACCATGCTTAGGAGGCCCTTTTTATTTTTTTATTTGTTTTGAAGGAGGAAAAAAAAATTAGAAACTCGGATATTAAAGAAATATCAATTCTTGAATAGAAACTTGGAAGGAACTGTTTGAGCGTAAAATATTTACTACAAATCCATCTGGCTTCACAACATTATTGGAATGTTTGGAGGGGAAAAAATTAAAAAAAAAAAGAAAAAAAAAAAGGCTAGTTTGATGAAGAGTGAACTAGCAACCTATATATACCGGTCCTTTTTGGGAAAGGAGGTTATTAAGAATGTTCACACCCTCTAAATTTCTAAAATATCTAAAATAAGTCCTATGATCATACAACTTATGAAAACAAAATTCCTATAACTATATTTGCTGGCAATTAATTAAGACTTAATTGAGGGATAGTTGTGGATGTAGTTTAGCCACGTCACCAAGAGTCAACCGAGCTAACCCCACATCAGTCCTAACTTCAAGCAAGAAGACAAAATGACCAACACTTGGTCGACGTCAAGAATCTCTTAGCAAAAGTAGCAGTCGATCGAATGATTGTGTATCAAATGAAATGTCCAACATTTTCACAATGGAAGTTTTAGATGTATGAAGAAAAATAAATAAATAATAACAAAAGGAAATTTGTATCGCAGAATGCTGGTTCTCATTGATAACAAGATAACGTGTATCAAATGAAATGTCCAACATTTTCACAATGGAAGTTTTAGATGTATGAAGAAAAATAAATAAATAATAACAAAAGGAAATTTGTATCGCAGAATGCTGGTTCTCATTGATAACAAGATAAAGGCGGTTTCTGAATTTCATCCAGAACTTATTATTATCCATCTTCTTCACCAACATAGCTTTTGAATTCACACATACAGGAGAAATGAAAGAATATCGGCAGTTCAGTTCTGCACTTAAACATTTCTTTTGAATTTCCCTGCCAACTCACACTATCCAGTCCCTCAACTTTGAGAATAACTAGTGGAATAACAACCCAAACACCCCCTATTTCAATGCAGGAATGGAACTTCCAAGGCACCTGTGAATTCCGTGATCCGTATTGTCAACTGAATGTTGACAGCAGCCATAATGTGGCAAAGATGTTAGATCTCCATTTGTTGATTCATATCAGTTAAGCACTTTAGCGAATTACATTCTTCTGCATCAACAACCTCCAACGAATACGTCCTTCTGATGACAGGTCTTCTCTGAAATCTATACACTCCCTCCAAACTGCCGCCTTCACCACCTTTCAACATCCTTACTACCTGTTGCATGTGCAAAAACAGATTCATCAAAAATGTGTACCATGTTTGTTTCCACCTTCTGACAAGAATTTTACACTGACCAGAAGTTGATTTTCTCGTTCACATATATATATTTTTTTCTCTAAGAATTTGTAATTCTAGCTCAATTAGAATCTAAAAAATACTAAGGATCAAGTGAATTAAGTAGGAGAAATTTTGAAACAATGTTTTCAAGACTTGAATGTATGTCTTGGACAGACCACATGGTGGTCCAGCACACGGCTGTGCTGCCAAAATTAAAACAAACACATGCCTTGCTCATTTGAGGTCGCTCTATTGAAGACCGATGTATGCACTGAGAAGCTATCAAAATCATTTGATTCATTTGCTCCGAGTCATAGGCACCGTCAAGAGATGGATCAACAAGCTCCCTGATATCATTCTTAGCGACCATTGGTCTAGCCTGCAACAAATTTATCCAAGATAGCTTGAATTTCCATTGCTCATCCAAATTATAAATTTATGAGAGTAGAGATAATTTAATTTGCCAATTTAAGTGAATACTAAAAAGGGGCAGATAAAGCTTACATACCCATATCAAAAGGCTTTGATGTGACTTATCCAAAGCAAGCCGTCCAGTGATGAGCTCTAAAAGTAGTACCCCATAAGAGTACACATCAGTTTTTTCGTCCACGAGACCATGCATGAAGAACTCAGGAGGAAGGTAGCTGTCAAGATAAATTTTTTTTTTAAAAAAAACAAGTTTATGAGTAATGCAATGTACTTTTTACCGATAGAGGGAACCACAACAGTTTTTAGGTTTACGAACCCGAATGTGCCTTCAAATTGCGATATAGTGAGGTGAGTCCACTGATCGGGAAGCCACTTTGCGAGCCCAAAATCAGAAATCTAGATTGAACATAGAGTTAAACATTGATCTGAAAATTTGAATAAACAAAAGTGTGAATGTTGTTTTCACGTACTGCTGAAACTTCATGATCCTTTAGAGCTACAAAAGTGTTAATTTTCAAGAACTGCAAACACCACCAATGCCTTTGATGGCAGACTTTTTTTCTGCCACTAAAAGTCCAATTTTTTAGGTTTACATCGAATTGAGCAACAATGAGATCATAAATATTTTTCAATGAATTTATACTTGGAGAAAATCATTTTAAGAAATGAAAAATATGCAGAGAATGGGCTTTTTTTTTTTTTTGACTAAAGATCAAACATAGATTGGGAGGTGCACCTGAGGCTCGAAATCCTCTGTAAGCAAAATGTTGGCAGCCTTGATATCTCTATGGATAATCCTCCGCCGACATTCCTCATGAAGATACGAAAGGCCCTCAGCCGTGCCTAAAGCAATTTTATATCTTATGCTCCATTTTAGTTTCTCCTTTGCACCTGAAAATTGGGGACAAAGACGAACAAAGTAAATTATCTGTTGGTTGGAACTTGAAAAGAAATTAAATTTTATAAACATCATCAAATCGATAAACAAACCAGTAAGTAGAGATGCTAAGCTCCCATGGGGAGACAAAGGAAGAACAAGGTGCATTCCCCCTTCAACCCCATAGCCTATAATATTAGCAACATTGGGATGATTGACATGGACTGAAATCCCAAGCTCGGATAAGAATTCTGCCGTCATCGCTTCAGGGGCACCTCTGATGAGCCGTTTAATTGCCACAAGTTGACCATCTTGTAAATGTCCCTTGTAAACTTCTGAATAACCTCCCTCTCCAATCAAATTTTCTTCATACGAGAATGGAGAGAAGCAGAAAATGTGTATCAGCCAACAAGGACATGCATGGCATTTTGGTCACACTATTAAAGAAGCAAGTGTATTTCTTTTCAATTGGCTACAAAAGTTGTGAATGTATAAATGGAGCAGGAAATTTTCAGTCTGCAAATTCAAGTTCTTGTACAAGGAAATTGCATACCGCGGCTGAAATTGTTGGTTGCAGTTTGGAGCTCCGAGAGGAGGAAATTCTTCCAGGAGGGCTTGGAGCAATACAATTCAGTATCTAAACTCAGTGACGGCTTGATGTGTCTTGAGTTTCTGGTTTTTCTTCTAGAGGGGCTAGGATGGAATGTATTAGAACCCGTGCACGGTCCTTTTTTGAATATACAGAAGAATCCACACAGTTGAGAATCAGATTTCGGATTTTGTTGAGCTTCTTCTGAACCTGAAGTGCTGACATTGGGAGATGGTGTTTCAAACCCTGAGTTATTCTCAGGCGCTCCTCTCAGTGAGGTTCTGCATGTTCTCTCCTCCTCCATATCTAAAGCGCTCAAGTCTGTAACAAGATCAAAACTAAAATTTAATAAAGCATTAAAATACATAAAAATTCACTTGATTTCCATGAAAACATACAAAAAGAAATGAAAACCTTGGTAGAAACATGGAAAACAAAAAAGACTTGGATTCTTCATATGAAGTATGAACAATTAAAATAACTAAGAATGTCCTCCTTGTTGCTGCTACAATATATATAAAACTAAATGTAAATACATAACATAGAATATGACAAAATAGAAATAATCTACAATCAAGTACAAACAACCTATCCATTGTAGAAGTGCCAAAAAACAGAAAAGGGGATTATTGAATTGATGGGACCATAAGTGCATATAAAATATCACGAGATAACTTCAACATATAACACATCCATCACTTATTTCTTATCCAAAAAAAAAAAAATTCCAACCAAAACATGTGATCGTTAAGGAAGAATAAGAACCAATTCACCCAATAAAATTTATGTGACTCTCAGAGAAATTAAAACAGGTAAAATCAATACATCATATATTCAGACACATATTATCAAACAATTGAAGTGCTTCTGCATATACGCATAAAAACAGCCAAACACGTACTACTGGTATGGTTATATATATAATCAATCAAAACACGTACCTATATATATTTATCAAAATAGACGAATTGCTTCAACTTATTATAAAAGTAGAGAAGCATGGATATGTCCTTGACAGAGGTGATGGAACAGAAAACACCATGGATGATATATATATATATATACACACGTATTTGAGAGGCGAATGTATTTTGAACGAAAACGAGTGGTTTGTCTTTTGAGGAAGTTTATCTATTTAGTCATATATTGGCATCTGCATCGCTATGTAACACATATAAGAAGAATTCCTTTTAACGTTAAAAACTGAACCACCATACAGAAGACAAGTAACGGATAATTAATAATAATTGACTAATGATAAGAGGTCACACAGTTCACAAATTTCACTAATTTTATGTGATATTAGATATATTAATGACAGTATCACATGGAGATTGTCAATATATAAAGATAAACTTGTATGAAATTAAAGATCAAATTTGATAAAGAAACTACTACTAATATCTATTTAAGACACCAACTAAAAATGACATAGCAGAAACTATAGAAATTCACAAAAACTTCCGAAATAATAATATTGATAAAAATTTGCTCTTGATTACATGTATATCTATAATAAAGAAAAAAAATTAATACTGAAGGAAAAAACCTAATTGCTTAAGAATACTAAAAACACAAAGAAATCTAATATAAGAAAACTGAAAATAAAATAAAATTATCTCTTAAAATTATAAAATATAAAAATATAATAATACGGAGGAGTAATAATAATAGCCTAATTAAACTGTCCTACATCAAAAAGAAAAGAAAGGAAGACGTTAACGTGCCGAATATGAACTCCTATGCAATTAATTCCTTGTGTTATGCACTATATATGTTTCAACCAGTTGATTTGTCAATCAACGACAAAAAAAAAAAAGGAAGTAAATTATATATATATAATTGTGTAGAAATTATAAAAATAATAATAAATATAATAAGTGAGAAGAATGAGAAAAGGTGTAATTAAAGTAGAAGTCAATCACAATGACAGTTCACTCTATCCAAAAAGGATAATTCAATGGTATCTAATCCGAGAATTGGAGATGTTGGAGCATCAAGTAATTTGTTAAAATATATATATATATTTTTTTTGTGTAGAATGTGCATGCATGATGTGTACATTTATTTATCTTTAACAATCTGTTAATCCATTTTTCTAGTCCCATTAACAAATTAATTTTATATTAAGTGGGTTTGTAAAAATAATTATGTGGGTCTAGACATGACACTGGTTGATTGTTATTGGGAATATATTTTTTACACAAATGTATAAACAATATGTAAATTTATCATGACACATTACATTTTTTTATCCAAAAAATATAAAATAATATGTAAATCTATTTTGACACGTCAGATTTACAAATATATATATACACGCTCGCGACATGCTCTTAGTGCTATTTTGTGGGGCTACATTAAAAATTGGAGACCATATATATATTACTCCGTATTTGAGTAATTCAGATAAAGGAAACCTAATGAATTTTAGAAGAGAGAAATCTAAGGAAATCTTATCTACATGAACTATGAATCTTATCTACGGGAGACCTTTCGTCCAGTGACTGAGCTTGGTCCTACATCGGAGATGAACGTACCTGATCAAGCGGTACCACAAATTATTCATATTGCAACGATGACGTGGTACAACAAATGGCTATAAATACTTTATCAATGCAAAGTGAATCTAGAATAAAAAATAAAAAATAAAAAAATACTTCCCCTTTCCCATAATAAAGGGGTGTTTTAAAAACTGTAACTCACAATTATTATGGGACTGAGAGAGTAAGTAGTTAGAAATTGTTTTTTGGTAAGCTTAAACCTATCTGACCATGGCACCAAAGTATTTGATTACCCTTCTTGTTGGGCCATTTTTTTTTTCATATATTGAATGGAAGGGTTGCTTGCAAAGATATATAGTTGATTAAGTATTTGATAATTCAATGCCAATTGAGCTGGATTATGCAAGCTTTAAAAACACAAGAGCACCACCAAAACAAAAAGCCTTGCTTCAAATTGAGAAAAGCCTAAATTATGGGAAGAGTTTGAGGGATCAAAAGGTGGAAACTATCTTAGTCTAAACTTTTTTTTTTCGAATTCTGTACCGTATGCTATCAACTGTTGGATGAAATGAATCACAGTATTGGACACCATCAACTATTGGATGAGATGGACTTCACTATAAACCCCATCGTCCAACAATTGGAAGTTGCCTTCATCTTGGGTATAATATCCTCCGTTGGATGAAATGTACCTCGCTATAAACCCCGGAACCATCCAACAATTGGACGTTTTCTTCGTCTTGAGGTATAATGTCCTCCGATGGATGAGATGGACCTCGCTAGAAACTCCAGAAGCATCCAACAATTGGCAGTCGCCACCATAGGACTTGATGCATGATATATATTATATAGCCACTACCATTCCTCTGTGAAATGTAACTTGGCTGAAGCATTACTGTAATTTTCATATCTCACTGTTTGATTTCCGTGCACACAATGCAATTATGGAAGATCTTGAATATATGCATCAACACAGCACCCTTCTCAACCATTATTCAACACTTTATATAGCATTTCAAATTTGCAAAATCATAATATATTATAAGTCAAACATGTTTCCTATAACATTACATACCTTTCCAAATCACTAAATCATTGTAATTTTTTACAAATGTGGAATCTATTCATTGTGAGCTTGTGGTTCGAACAACGCGAAACAAGCTACATCACCCATTTATCAAAATGACCCTATGGAGTGCACTGCATAGGATTTTGATATGTTACTCATAGCCTTCCCTCTTGAGCCCAAGATAGAATTTTCAGTCCACCAAGTAATTTTTGATGCATCTCAACATGAACATTGCAAACTCGCAATTTGATACAAGATGAACAAAGATTTCAATAGAATAGCCTCGAGACTAAGATTGTATTTAATTTACAACAGAAGCTACAAAAGAAAACTGTAGAGTGGTGAAATGATTGGTTACAGACTTACAGTACAGTCCCTACTTAACCCCTTCAATGGACATTACGATAGATTAAGCCCTCAAATGTAGCATAGAGGTCCTTGTTATCTGGACCAAAAATATCATCTGCCTTCCGTAATGTTTCCTGTGACAACCCAGACAAATGGATAGATGAGAGCGAGCAAAAATGGGAATTTATTACCTCAAGAAAGTGGGAGGTTGGTAAGCTCGGGTCACACACCTCTCTTGTTTGTTTGTGGGAATTCAATTCCTTGACATTTGCTAGAAACGCACCAAACTGCTCATAAGATAAACGGCTCCTAAAGAGGCAAAAAAGTGATCAGATGAGAAACTCTTGAATTTAGTGGGCCATGAGACATAATCTTTGAAGTGTGATTCATAGTAGATGCATTAAGGAACCAATTACTCAATGTCAAATAGTAGATTAAAGCACAAATTTCTAGGACGTGAAAATGGAAAAGAATTGTGTGTTTGCAACATGTTTTCTTAGTTAACACGCAGCCCGTGGCCAAGGTAATGTAAATATTCATCAACATAATTCAATGCCATGTTATGGTTTAAATAGTTTCTTCTGCAACAAAAAGAGATTCAAGTTCAACATGCCATCACCTGACTTGGCGGAAGAATTCTTTCCCATCAACCCGAGTTCGCGCTGAGGACAAACACAAAGGACAAATGTCATATCATCACAAGTACCCCAATTACAATATTAATGAAGCTGATTTCCAGCCATTTCCTAGTATAAATGCACCTAATGCACAAATATGAAAGAGCATGGTGTCTAGCATCTTCTTCAATCAGAGTCTCAGACCGTGTTTAGTTTCCATAACTATAATTTACAATATATTCAGTATGCACAAAAAGGTCACTTTATTATTTGTAAAATAAAGTTTTAAAAGCTAACCAGATTGTGATCCTGTCTCCAAGCCTGACATTGAATTGTGCTGGCTTGAGGGCATAGAAGAAAATACCGAAGACCTATCATCAAATACGCCTCTTGTGGTTGAAAATGAAATTGAATGTCGCCTAGGGGACACTGGCTTCGACGTTCTTGTTGGAGATACTGATGCGGATAGACTAGGCGGGGAACCAGGAGGAGTAAACCGAGGTGTGCTAACTTGGGATGCTAACAGCAGGCCATGTGATATGCGAGGTCTTGAGGCTGCCATGATAATAATAACAATAAGAGAAAAAAGAAACTGTTAAGACTTTATACATTCAATTGCTAATTTTTGAATCCTTGACTGAATATATGGATCAGTTGTTATGATTCCTTGACTCAATATAGAATATGTTCACTAAACAAATAATATGAATTGCTTGTATATCCATCATTTCACTCGAGGAAAAAAGCATTTTTGTGAAACTGTGATTGATGTAGTATAATGGAAATAAACAATGACGGCCTACCATCTGTCTCAGAATCCTCTGCATGTGAATTTCCTATTTCCGAGAACTGGCTCCGTACTGAAGAGGCTCTTGAAGGTGGCAATGTAGCATCATCTTCTGAAACAAATTCCGTAAATTTTTTGTTAAAGAATAGTTACATGGTTATACTTGAATGTTTCACTTCTGGCATATTTTGCAGATCCCCAAAATTAATGGGTGAAGAAAACCTAAGGTTAGTGAAAAAGAAAGCCTAGCATAGCAGCATTATGATACACGACCATCAAGGGAAGACATTTTCTAAATCATTTCCACCGTCTGGTTTTGGACAAGCTTCTGCATTCAATTTGTGTACATGACACTCCCCATGTTAAAGTGTGATCCACCTGATGGCAAATTTATTCCTTTATGCTGTTGCTACACCATTAGTACGATAAATAAGCGGGTGCCTTGGATTTTCACCAAGATTATATGAAAACTAATGAATGAGCTGTTTATAAGCTACCTAAATGACCTTCAGTGAATGGAGACGAAGATAAACTCGCAGTGTTTGGTATATGCTTGTTAACAACCTGAGGTGTTCCTGCCTGTTGCAAAAGATCTTGTTAAAACCTCAAGCAAGAAACAGAGATTTTTCAACTCTCAGAAACTCTTGGCACAGAACTTACAGAGCTTTCTACATCCTCTTGAAGTGACTGCATGAGTGTCTTTCTGAAGCTTTCCAACTGCATACATTCAAGACACTAAATCAGCTAGACCCCTTTATCGTTATGCAGAAAGATGAGGTTACGGGTGGGTGAATTATTTGGTATGTCATTAGTATCTATGTTATCGATTTATGTGGCACTCTTAGCGCTTTGAATTGATGGCTCTAGTAAGAAAAAACATGTAATGAGTTCATGCTATTTATGTTAGGAATATATTAGGATAGAATAAGTCATCTCCATCACATACATGCATATATTAGCAGCAATTTTTTACAAATAAATCAGGACAAATGACAGCGATATGAAGCTTGGTTCAAGTCTCAAGAGTTTTATGGAACATCTGGATACATTCCTCATAAACCTAATTGGTTACTTCCAATTACGTAAATCAATAGTTCAAACCGCACTCAAAGGTAGGGGGCATTTCCCATTTTTATAGGAACTTCTGTACCAGAAACAATGGTATCTCCAATTATAGCCCCTCTGGGATGTAAAATATATCTCTTCTCACCATCCCCATAGTGTATGAGAATAGATTTGAAAATAAGGAACTTAATTTTAAATAAAAATTTTAGCTATTAAAGTTGGATTCAAAGTCCAAGGGGATGTTAGAACTTAGAACTGGATTCCTTACCTATATGGATTTTAAATAGCTCGTTGCACCTTGATGATTGAAATGCATACATATAAAGGCTAACCCAATGTGCATGAGGCTCTCATCAGAACATGGACTTTTTAGTCCTTTTGGGTAGACAATGACATGAATTCTTTTTCCAAATGACCAAATACCTCAAGTCTTAAGAAATTATTACATGGTCCAGAACCATTGGTCCCGAGCCAGTCAGTAACTAACACACAAGCAAATGTGTCGGCTTTATTCTGATTTTTAGTTGCATGTAAAGTGATTGGTTGGGACCATGTAATAATTTTTACTAAGTCCTTTTTATTGACTTCTATTTTAAGATTCTGTTTGGTTCATTAGAGAGATATAAATCCCACCAATATAAAAATAGTATGAGATGGAGTATTCAAAGTCATCCAACATAAGAATTAGTAATTCCTAATACTGTAACCATGATGTTTCACCAATAGAATCGAGAGCAATTGTAATTCCTAGTAAATTCATCAAATTAACAGCCAAATATGAAGCAACAGTTTCTATATATTCAGATTTTTGTATAAAAACCCAGGAAACAAATAGGCCTAAAGGCAAATTTAGGGTGCCAATGATTTCAAATTTCACAAAATTAGTCAAAATTAGAATCAGCAAAGTTAAAATCTTCAAGTAATTAGTTCTCTTTAACCTTAAAATATCAAAAGTTAAACGAATTGACCTTCCACGTACCTTGGCAACATCTCGAGTTAGCTTCTTTACAGTGTTGGATAACGAAGCGTTTTCTCTCAACAAGTTCTCCTGCAAAAATACATACATATCACCAAGTCATATATATATTATATGTATATATTACATGGGTTAAAGCACTGTGATATGGTGGGGTCTGAGTCGGACCTTTTCCTGGTCGGCTCGGGCGAGTTTATCGGAGGTGTCAGAGAGAGAAGCGTCAAGGGAATCGATCTGGGTTTGGAGGTCGGCGATGAGAGCATCCTTGTCGTTGAGCTTGGCGCGAAGGGCGGACGTCTCTGATTCGAGGGAGGAGACACGTGTGGAGAGGGCAATGGAGGTGATCTTGCGGGCCACATCGAGCTGCTCGAATGGATCCGAAGGAAGTACCTCCAGCACCTCCTCGGGAAGATCGAAGTTCGGACCAGCCGATTCTTTGGCAAGCATTTTCCTATTTCTCCTCAATTATTTCCACTTTATTTTGTTTTTTATATTATACTAACACACTTATCTATATACACTTATATGCGTATGTTTGTAGTTTGTAGTTTGTAGTTTGTATAGAACATATATTATAGAATAAAGAACATAGTACCGTAATGTAGTGTGAAAGAATTGGATAGATCATATAGATAGATAAGGTGTCTGTGCAAAACATGTGGTCTCGAGGAAGGTTTTTGTGGATAGATGAGACAAACAAAGCCTTGGTCTCTCTATGGTCTAAGAAATGGGCCTAACCATGATGATGTTTTGAGCAGTTAAACTCCATCAAGACTGGGCCGAGCCCGAATCTTCAGATTCCAAACTCTTGATTCCCAAGTAGTAAGCCATTAACATTTTTCCCAAATTAATCATTATTCATTAGCAAAAACTATTAGATTTATTCTAGATGAGTTGCATCTAGTGCTACTCTTGTTTTTGAATGCTAATCATATAAGAAGAGTATTAAAAAAAATGTTATTATCAGTATTAACATTTTTTTTGCCTGAAAAGTAAAGCAATTTATAAATTAAGTGAAATGTAAAATTTTAAAGTAGATGGGATTGATTTTTAAATAAATTGAAGCAAATATGATCTTCCCGGTTTTTTTTTTTTATAAAAAAAAAAAAAAAAAAAAAAAAAAAAAAAAATTGAAATTGAATCGAACCGACCATTTAAATCGAATTAATCCAAACTATAGGAGAACAGATCGGATAAGTTTGGTTTGACCATTTATGCTTTTACGGAGGAAAAAAAAAATCCAAACAAAATACAAATCAATTGCTAAATACGAGAAAATTTTCTATAAGTTAAAATCTAATTTCCAACAAATTTTGGAATATATATATTTTTTTTAAACTCCAATTTTAGACCGAACCACAACACTATCGGATCTGATCGTACATAAAAACTGAATAAAATCGCACGAATCAAATTGACCCGAATTGAATAAATCAGTTTATACGACTTTTCTTATTTTCCGAACCGAACCAATGGATTGACTTAAAGGGTTAAACATTTAAATGAGACAGACCCGGCAAATTGAAGCCCATAACAAGCAGCCCAAAACACTTTACTGATAAGTGTTTGATAAAATGCCCATTAGGGGGCTTTGACGCATTTTTTTGAAAAATGGTAGTCCGTGTTTAACAGAAATTATTTAATTTTATCACATTAAAGTTGAGCTCAAAGTTACAAACAGATTCTTAGGACAATTGAACTAAGGAAGACACGCATGCTGGTATGTATGCAAAGAGAAGAGTTTGACTGGGAATAGTTCTAGGGAAGGGATGTAGGACCACAGGATGGTATCTCTTCAGAGTTCAAGCAAGTTGACTCGGTTCAGTTCGAGAAACTTATTGCTAGTTGTGGGCTTGATTATAGTGGAGTATTTATGAGTTGTGATACTACAATATTGCTGAGAATGAGTATGAAGAGGTCGAAATCTATAGATGCAAATGAATTGTTTGAAATGCTCTCACTATGGTAGAATTATATTTACATTTTAGTTTGGGGTGTTTTGTACTTCTTTGAACTTGGCTCTTTCTTGCTTACTGATAACTCTAAGCCTGCCTTGTCTTGATGATGCTTTGTTATTTTTATTTTAGAGTTTTGTAACCCTGGTTAGCTAAGACATGTTTGCCCAGTAATTTTCTATTTCTTTTTTTGCTAGGGTTTTAGTTGCATTGATCAGGAATCCAAGATGAATTGTACTGCAACTTCATAAAACTATGTTTTTATGTTTTTATGTTCTTTTTTATTTTTTGTTGCTGGATTGTGGACGGACTTGGTGGGTGGAGTAGGGACAAGATGGATGGAAACAGTAAGAAGTATAAAGGATTTGATGCGCTTTAGTTGTTTGTAGTTTGTGAGGTGCTCTGGGTTGTGTGCTTTGGTGTGTTGTTCCTTGCCCTTTATTCTTTTGTTTTCTATTTTGTTTTCTGATTTTTGGAAATGGTGTTTGAGGCTGCTGTTTTAGAGGGGTTTGGCTCTCAATTTTTGGTTTCATTGGCAAGAAACTTACACACTCATTTGTCTCCATGGGAACACAAACTCTCACCTCCTACATTGAGAGAGAGTAGATACCGCTAGACCACAGCCTTTAGATGTGTGGTTCTTAATTTGTTGTATTCTTGTTGTTGCTTTGTTAATAAGAGCTTGCTTTATTATTAATATATATATATATATATATATATATAGTAAGGAGTATAAAGGCACTAGTAAACTGTGTGATAGTTAGATACTAGGTGGCTTGGAGTCTGATCTTACATACCGACGCCATTTGAAAGCATACTAGCAGAACTATAAGCTCTTCTCTCTGTAAATTTTATCCTGTTTTCAACCTAATGACCCCGTGAGATTTGTCATGCTGCATGCATATAGGTGAGCTCCTACCTTGTTTATGGGATCACTTGGAGATGTGTGTGGAAATTACTAACGTGTTGGTGTGAACAATAATGCTTGACTATTATCTGATGGTGTATGATCTCTCCTGTTAAACAAAAAAAAAAAAAAAAGGTCATTGTTGCTTATGTTAATAGTTCATTTTATTTAGGATGTGACATTTCCTGTTCTTTTGTTTTTCAGTCTTGATTTTTATCTCACTGCTAAAAATGTATTGCATGGATCATTAGAAATTAAAATATATTCTACCGGTTTGAGGAAAAGTTTTCAATTGTGTACGTGTCTGCCGCTTTCTTTTGCTACAGTCCAAGCAATGGCTATCTCTGGGCTATCAATGGCTCTCTGTTACACTTGCATTTCCTATTTTTCCTCAATTATTATATTTGTTTTATTTTATATTATGCTTACACAGTTATGTATATCTATCTATATATAAATACATGTGTGTGGGTTTGTATGTAGGTAGAAGAACATAAGACTGTATATTGAATTGGGAGAGAAGTAGAGAGCCCCTACATTACAGGGAACATTGATTGGCTAGGTGCCCAAGGGGTGTTTGGGCAGAACATGTGGGTCCCTAGGAAGGTTTGTGTATAGATGAGACAAACAAGCCTTGGTCTTAGAATGGGCCTAACCTTGATGTTTGTTCAGCAGTTACTCTTCCAATACTCGGCCTAACGTTTGTTGAAACTAAATATAAATGCGTAGACGACTTTACACATTTTTGTACACATTACACACGCTAAAATATTTGAAAGGGTCAAAAAGGGTGATATATTATTTATTTTTCATTTATTGGACGGTGGTGGTTGGTTTGAAGGCAATTCCCATGATCTGCATGCAAGATGTGGATTGAACACACGTCTCTGGTTCATTATTTGATGACTACTCATTCACAGCACATAAAACAATCACACCCATCAACCTTTTGCATCCTTTGCAAGGCGTCGCCCAAACCCACCCATATTAACATATTTAAATAAATTTTTATATATATACATATATAAAGAATTATTCATCTGATCATGGATGTGTAAGAATTTATGCACGAATTAAATTTTAATCATTAAATATAAAAGAATAAATTTTATTTTAATTACCTAATGAAATATAACGATTAATAGTTGAGGTGTGCATATACTATTTTATACACTAGGGAACAAGTGAACAATTCTATACACGTAGTACATAATATATATATATACACATACTTCGAATATATCTTTTTTTTGTTTTTTTGTTTTTATATATACACAAAATATCATATTAGATCATTTTCATTAATTTTTCTCTCCTTCAATCTGTAGTTCTACCAATCTTTGACTTTAGTTTTGATTTCTCAGAAAAATGAATGGCTGTTAATTGAAGTTAGAACAAAATTTGTTGATTGGTTATATATACAACCCTCCACCTGACCAATCAAGAGTGTTTGATCAAAGAATTCTGTTCAACTCCCTCAATTTACGTTTCACTGCTCAAATTTTAATTAATTTTAATAATGCTTTTTTATTTAATTCTTTTAGTACGTTTCCACTAACCCTCCCCAAGGTGCAATTTTTATAAGGTAGATATGAATATTGGATGCAGATCGTGGCGCCCAACAATTGAGGTCCGCTCAGCTTTTGTTTTCTTTTTCTTTTCTGTTTTATCAATTATTGCAAATAATATAATTAAATTGATTTGTGCCATTTTTATATATTGATGACCAAAAATTTTAGTACTCAATGATATTTCTTTTATTTTTTAAAATGAACACCAGTGTTTAAATTTTTAAAGTATATATATATATATATATTTTGACTAACTAAGAAGTGAAATGCCAAATACCCTCTAGCATTGAAAAAAGAAAACAGGAGAGATGAGGGCAGCTCAGTTGTCACCATTATAGTAGTGCGATTAGGTGTTGAATTGTTGACTAAATCAATGCATAAAAAAGATAAGAGATGGAAAAGTAGGTTTTAATTTTAAACAAGGCTTATACCATAACATTGTCGACTTCAATGATTATTTGCTTTATTAAGTGGGCTATACCTCTAATTATTGGCTTCAAAATATAAAAATGTATAATTGGGGTTTGATTGTATCCAATTAAATATAGTAGAAGCAAGTGGCCTGTCTGAACAAATATATTACCATCTTAGGAACGATTAATGACAAATGAAGGAATTAAGAACAACTGTACTCTTGGTTTTTTGTTTCCAAAGATACTTTTATTTAATTAAAGTTGCTATTATATATGAATAGTTGGCTATCAAATCTAGTTCAATGCATAATCTCTTTATTAAAAAAAAAAAAAAAAAATGAGAGCGGTTTGAGTCTAAAAATGGGGTGGTTTGAGTCTAAATACGTAAACAAAATAGATGGAACACATATAAAAACTTTAAAAACAAAAAAAAAAAAAATCATATATTGAATCTCATTTATATAGAATTAAGACAAAGATATATTATGATTATTATCATGTTAATTTTTAATGCATTCCCTATTAATTTTGTTCCTTCCTTTACCCACCAACCAAACTGTACCTTAATATATAGATTACTCGTGAAAGTAAATACACATATATAGATATTGATTGATTCGCACATTTTGAGTTATATTCGGATATTCAAAAGTATTACTAATAAAATCTTAATTTAATGCTGACACAGCAAAATAAATAATGGTAATAGCGTTCACTTTAATTTAGCAAACGTAATTTTCAGGGAAAGAGAGCCGTGGAAAACCCGACCCGGACCCACCCACTCAATTATTATTATACTCTTCCTACATGATAACCCAAAACTGTGGTTCACAAAAATAGTTTTCTCTCAAAACAGAAAACGACAACTCACCAATAGTTATAACGCCGTTAACACCAACGAAGGAAAAGGAAATCAACAAGCCAAATGCTAACGTTTACCGTCAAAACAAAGAGGTATGGCCCCACGTACGACCCAGTCTCCGTCAGCCCACTCATACCACGAACCCCCCTCCCCCACCTTTCTCTCTCTAACTTTGTCTTTCTCTTTCTCTCTCTACATTTCACGCGTCGCGAAGAGCGAAGGTCGCTGCGAAAGCTCCACCATTTTCAACCACACACTCACTATATATCTCCATAGAAATCATCTTCTTCGTATGCTCATCAACAGAGCTACGATTTTTTATATTATTTATATTTTATATAAAATATAGGAAAAAACCTCCTCTCTCTCCCATAGAGGAAGAGGAGAGAAAAAAATTCATAAACAATTCTTCTTCCGGCAGTTTTCTCTCTCTACTTTCTCTCTCCTCTTCCTTTCTCAGCATCGTCTGCCCGTTTTGTATGTGTTAGAGAAGTTTTGTAGGTATTGATTGATGGGAACGGAGGTATTGCGACCGCAGGATTGTTTGATCCAACGGATCAGAGTAGGTCCGGCGAGCCGGAAAAGTTGTTATCCTAATGGAAATGCTAGGTTCAGGAAACCGGTGGTCCGGCCCGAGCAGAAGAAGCGGTTCAACGGCCAACCGGAGACGACGACGTCGCTGATCCCGAAGCGTTCGACGAGTACTGACGACGATCTGAGAAAGAATTTCAATAACAATTACAATCAAGGCCAGCTCGTGATGGGACAGGTCACGATTTTGAGGCGAGGCGAGTCGCTTGATTCGAAGATCAAGGCCGGCCGGCCGTTGACGAAGAACGGCGACGACCTGCTCGTCTGCGGGACGGAGCGGTTGGGTCCGGATCCCGAAATGGTCACGAAGCAGATCCGGATCGGGGACCTGAAATCGGCTTTGTCTCCGATTGCCGCCGGAAACCGGACCGACATGTACGCCGGATCGGCGTTCTCGATGTCGCCGTCGCCGAGAGCTCTTCCTTTGCCTTCGTTTTTCAATAAGAAACAGGTCTCGAAGATCGTCGAGGACTCTGCGACCAGAGATCTGAGGCGTTTGCTCAGACTCGATTGATCGAAGACGACGACAAACTCAAATATGGAATCAATTTGGACCTAGTACAACCGGTCGTAATTCGCTGGGCTCGTTTTCAAGATCTGGTCTTTCCTTCATATTTTTTAAAATGGAGAGTATTGATCTGAAAATGAAGATAAATATTGTGATAGCGATTCAGAGATGGTATGTATCAACTATTAATTATCAGTCTACCACTACCTAGCATAAACTCTCTGATGATGGGATTAAATTATTAAGTATGGGATTATCATGTAATTTGGGGGCTAATTCTAGGGTTTTTATCAAATCTATGAACGAATCAATTTATGGTGTGTAATACCTCTGTTGAGAAATAATAGTATGGGATGATTTGGGGGTTTATTAGAAATTTTGAATGTGATTCATGTGAATGTTTTAGTCCTCTGTTGTTGTTGTTGGTGGCCGTTGGGAGGGTTTGTAGAAGTTGTTATTTGTATGATACAAGTGAATATATTATCTAGAGTTTTATTTACGGAGTATTTATTTATTTATTTATTTTTTGGTGGATTTACTTCTCTTATGTTGAGTTTCGAGCTCATGATATTAGTATTTAAAAAAAAAAAAACACACAATTTTCAATTTTTTGAGTCTAGAAATCCTTTTGGTTGGGAAATTTTCAAAGTATGGGAAAAAGCATAGATTCTTAGTCAAATTAAAGAGTTAAAATTGAAGATTGCTAAATTCCAGAAAAAAAAAAAGGAAGATTGCTTTTTGAAATGTGAATTTTATAAAACAATTATTAGTCCATCCTCATTTTCACTATAACAAAATAACAGTAAAACATTTTCATGTTTGAGCTTTAAGTAATACTTTTGTTTTTTTATGTAGAATGTTTTTTTAAAATTTTTATTTTTCAGTATTTAGCAAAAGTTTTAAAAATATTTTTATTAGAGAAGTTAAAATTAGGAAATTGTACTATTATTATTGTTAACGAAGAGATTGACATTGTGTTATTGGACTTATTGGCTCTTTTTTTAAGAGTATTAAATGATTCTTTTCTCTCTCTACAATATCTTTTTAGACTGTTTTTTTGTCACTGTTTAACCCTTGATTGACTTTTTTTGAAGCCATGTACTTTTGTTGAGGAGATCAAAAGTGAAATTGAGAGGTTGAAAAATTATTTTTAGAGAATTAATCGGTAAGTTGCTTTGTTTAAAATTTCAAAAATTATTTTTCTTCGCAAAAGATTTTTTTAACAGAGGTAATTCAAAGTGGTCTCTCTCCTTCCTCCAGTTTACAATATTATGCTCTTAAAAAAAAAAAAAAAAAAAAAAAAGAAGGGGTTAAAACTTTAAAATATCAATTTTATTTACAATTAATTCCATCATGACGTTGGAATTACAAATTGCGTGAAGTTATCTTCCTTTGATAAGGTGATTGTGATGGATGTCTCACCGTTTTTATTCGCTTGTAATTAGTGTTGGAGGCCACTGAGTAAAAGACAATTTAGGGCTTGTAAAGCATAGAAACCATCACAGACGACTGTTTTAACCATCACAGAAGACTGTTTTTAGGGTTTGTAGAGGATGGAAACCATGACACGAAGAGAAGTAAGAGAGAGAGAAAAGGGGACTTTTTAATCATTTCAATTTAATAAATTTTTTAATCATTTCAATTTAACAAAAATATGAGTAGAACGCTATAGTATCTCTTTGGATCGCAAATATCACGTCTTTGAGATTAAGGTATGGCAAAACAAATATTGAGAGGCAGATTGCTATTTGCTAGCCCAACTATTTCATCCTAAGTTGATAATATTTGGATTTTCTGAGTCTTGATAGCTAAATTGATAGTTTGGACATATCACAATTTTCAAATTCCGATTTAGTTCTGTGATTTTCAAAGTGACCATTATAATATTTTTTGTTTTTTCTTTTTTTTTTTTTCAAGTGAGAAATATAATATCATTTACACACATAAAAAAATAACTTTTCAGTAAATTAATTATTCATTGCAACTTGCAAGTTGGACGGGAGCACGTGTACGGCAGTTGATTATAGGATCTTCTAAAATTCGTCAATGGTACGTAACAAATCGCAAACATTCTTGCAAAAACATGTAAAATGAAGATAATTTTAGCCAAATAAAAAAAAGAAAGATTGGGATATATTTTTCATCAAAACATTCCCAATATCTACTATTTCCCACACTTAACAAATTTATGGAATATATGGAGTATTTTCACAACTAATCAAACTCATAATTAAAAACTAAATTATTGAGGATATTGTTCTTCAAGGCAGCTAGCTAGTACCAAGATTTGAGAAATCACTAGGATCCACCTAGTCATCATAGCTCATTTTGAATCTGCATACACAACAAAGAAAACCAATAAGCCTCGAATAATATTATATATTTTCAACAAAAATTTAAGAACAAGTATCTAAAATGCTCTTAAATTTAACTTTTTGTACAAATAACACTACACCCTACTGATGATCTCAAAAGGACAGTCTTCCAACCTTGTTAGTGAAAATGGTCTTTTAAGTGAAGTTGCATATGTTAATTTCGTAGTAAATATTTCGTACTAAAAACTCCTTTGTTGTAGTGTAGGGATCAGTAAGCAAGCAATTGCAAAAAGAATTTTGTAAAAGAAGACTAAAATGAAGGGAAAAGAACAAAAAAATGTAACATTATGAAAGTACATTAATAAAAAAATTACTCAAAACTTAAAAATGTGCCATACCGTTCACAATTTTGGGACAAATTCTCTTTGAAGGACCTACAAGATACATGATCTTGCGTAAGTTTTGTTGCGCACTGCGTTCAAGCCAAACAAAAAATAAATAAGAGAAATCATCATGCAAAAAAAAGAAAAGAAAAAAAGAAGTTGGTTTATTTAGTTGGCGGGGATAAAAAATTAGGGATGCACACTATTCGGTTTGGACCGGATTAGGAGTATTTTGGGATCAAATCATTTATAACGGTTCTGCTATTTTTGAAACCAAACCGAACCATAATGTCTATGGAACCAAACCAAACCAAACCGCGAAAAACCGATTTGGTTCAGTTCGGTTTGTCGGTTTCGGTTGATTTCCTTTTTATTTTATTTTAACTTAGAGGGGGCAAATTAAAAAATAATAATAATAAAATAAAATTTGAGATATATTTGAAAAGGAAAATTTGACTTTTTAAAAAAAAAAAAATTTAAAAAGAAAAGAAAAAAATGGATCACGTGAAAACTTTACTTGATTTAGGTTTAGGATATGATATACATATAAATATAAATATAAATATAAATATATATATATATATATATATATATATATTATATAACATATTAACGGTTTGGTCCAGGTTGGTCCGGTCCAGTACGACCCTAAATCAGGACTGGATCAAAAAATTACGGTTTCATAATTTTGGACTCAGGATCGAACCATCTGATTTTTCGATCAATCGAATTTTTTAAACACCCCTATAAGAAAATTACACCCATTACCATTACCCAATACGGAAACATCAAACCTCAACTATACAAACATTGTCAGAATATTAACCACTATTGTACAATGGCTTTGACAATGGAACAAACCATATAATCTTAAAAAAAAAAAAAAAAGATGGAAAAGCATCTAGGTATAACTGAGACAACATACTTGAGGAAGAAAAGAGCATAAATAAAATTTTATAATTTTGCATACCCACATGAGAAATTTATAATTCTGTTCAAAAAAAAAAAAGAAGTTATATAGAATATTTTAGTTGTTTTCAAATAGAGATCAAATATACCTGTTTGTAGAGCATGAAAAGAGAGCCACATGGTGCTTTGTTGAATCTGACGATTGTTCCATACAAAGGATCAGACGTCCCCTCCTCAACAGTAGAGGCACTTGCTATAAGGTAAGAATGGCCTGTTTATAATAACCTGAAAACAAGATTTATAGGTATGTGATAATGTGCGTGCCAATGCACGAGGAAGCATTTTGCAAAGAGAATATCATGCAAGCAGGGATCTCAAAATCTAATTCTATAAATAATTAGAGACATCCACCATCATATATATAGTATTTCACACCTATACTATTATATTATGTTAAGATACTAAATTTGAGGCCCTAGACCGGCTGGATCTAATAATCCATGAGATACACTCAATTAATTCCAAATGTGCCACCATATTTTGTTCTAACATCACATGCTATCTAACACACTTCCATGCCATAACTATTCACTTTGGACCCCCCATAGAATTTAGATGAGCGAATTCAAGAACAAGATCAAGAAGTGAATAGAGACAATACATACATACATACACACACACACACACACAATCGCGATAAAGCAAACCTATATGTCATAGCCACCATTTCTTAATTTTCTTACCATAACAGAATCGTTCAAGGTCTTTGTACATCGAACCACAATATTTTTTACTATCGCTCCCAGTATAGTATAGACACTGCATCACAACAACAAAGGAAACCAAACAATAGTTGTAAACCATTATTGCTGCACAAATTCTATTATAATCTCGGCTTCATGTTTTATATTCATTTTACAAAGAAAACATCATCATCCAAAACCTTAATACCACCAAATAAACTAACAATAAAAAGCATCAATAAGAGGGTAAAATCGATTATAAAGACGAATATTGCACTTCATTAATTAAAAAAAGCACCGACAAACAATGTCGTAGTTCAACAAATTATTCACGAACCCAGTTATAGGTTCACTCTGAATCTACAGCAACATTTATATCCATTTTCAATGTGTGATTGTCTTGATTACTAAGCTCGTGTAAATGGGAAAGAAGCTAGCGACCTTCGAATCATGCATATATTTACAATTTCTTTTTAAATTTATTATTATTATTATTATTATTAAAGAAGACGTGACACTCCATTTACATTTAAAATTTTCTTAAAAAATATTACTACGTATTTTTATAATTTTTTCTTGATACATAGACATATATATAAATATTATATATATTTAAAAGGTAAAACACAAGCAAATAAAATTAAGAACAACAACCTTAATTGACACACACACACACACACACACACATATAGTTTCAGATATACTTTTTATAGAGCGTGGCAACAACAGAACACGATTTTGGCAACTCCACAAGACAGTCAAGCTCATGAGATATGGACATCTTCCTGCAAGAGAGATTCCAAATTAATTAATAACATCAGAATCAAAGAAAAAAAATGAAAAAGAACCTATACAAAATTAATCAACTCTCGATCGTATCAAAATAACATACATACATATATATATATATTTATTTATTTATATATTGTATGCCCTAATTGATTCGACGAATGGTTTAACAAATAAAATTCAACTTGGCAAAACACTTAACAATGATGGAGCGGAAGCTGTGAGATATTTTTATTAATTAAAAAGCTAATGAATTCTGCTCTTGTACTACATATATTTATAATAATGGAAGAAAGCTTGAACTACAAGAAAACTACCCATAAGAAAGCTAATAACACGAGCAAACCTAATATGATAAGA